GGAGGAGGGATGGGGAGGAGAGGAAGGATGAGGAGGAGGGATGGGGAGGAGAGGAAGGATGAGGAGAAGGAGGCGGGACAGGGAGGAGAGGAGGGATGGGGAGGAGGAACACTCACATCAGCTGACTGGATGATGAAGTGCCGGGGCTGCTCTTCCCACAGCACTGACAGCACATATTCCTGCTTGCCCTGGCTCTCCCGTACCAGGAAGTCCCCAGACTGCATCAGCAGCTCTGCCACCTCGGCCCTCGGGATGGCCCCGTGGTACCACAGCTGCTCGTGCAGGGGTTTCTGCACCTCTGGGATGAGCTGCAGTGGTGGGGGCAGCTGGGCAAGGGGTACAGGGTGGTCACTCAGCCAGTGTGTCAATGAGGCCATCGACTATCCACCCTGTGCTCCCCCATCCTCACACACATGTAGATGGCAATGCTTGCCCTGGGGTGGGCACAGACTTGCCCGGGCTCACTCTGTGTCAGAGTGGAGATGGAAAGTCCAACCTGGAAGACCCCAAATTAGAACTTTTCCATCAGCTACCAGGCTCTGCTCTCTCCCAGAGCAAGAAGAGAGAGACCCAGGGAAATCGAGGCTTTTGGAAGGTGGTGCTCAGTGCAGCCTGGAATTCCAGGTAAGGGACTTCCCAATGAAGGCAAACTGGCAGAGCTATCTCTTGGGGAACACCCCCAGTGTCTAAACCCCAAATGCTATAGGGGGACTCTCAGGGGGATCTCTCTGCCTGTAGGATGTGCAGAGGTACAGGCCCAGGCTGGGCTCCACTCACCGAGAACTTGGGACGGAAGATTCCTGTGATGTGGCTCTTAAGCATCTCCAGGGTGGGCGTCCTTCCCCCCTCTCGCTCCTGCTCCTGGGGCCAGGGACAGACGTCAGCGGATGGCCAGGCTTGGGGAGGGGGAGGGCGAAAATGAGGAGCGCAGCCCGGGCAAGTGGGCGTGCTGGCAGCAGTGGGCACGAGAGGGCAGCTCACCGAGGAAGACGTGGAGTGGCGGTCGTCTTGCAGAAGGGGCACGGGCGGGGGCTCTCCAGGGCCCAGTTGCTCCAGCTTGGCCTGTAGCAGCTCCTGTTGTGCCTGCAGCTTGGCCTGGCTGCATGTAGCGAGCTGTAGCTCCTGCAGGGCCTCCTGCAGTGCCTGCTTTTTGCCCAGCAGCTGCACCCTGCAGACAAGGGGTGAGTGAGACAGTGGGGGAGAAATGGGCTCAGCCTGCAGGGGGCGCCAGCAGTGGGGCAGAAGGAAGCCAAAGCGCCCTGGTGGAGCCCACTCACCGCTCCCGTGGGTGGGTGCTCTGTTCCTCATTCCAGAGCTCCCGCTGCAGCTGAGTGACCACCTCCTGCCGGCTAATCACCGTCTCGGTGGCTGTAGCCAACTCATCAGTCACTGCAGTCATCCTGCACCCAGGGGGAGGGCAGCATTAGAGCTGAGGTCCCCAGGTGTATCCCCACGGGCGTCTGGCAGGCTCAGCTGCCCTCTTCACGGAGCCCAGTCCAGTCCAGCCAACAGCCCCCCACGCACGTGTGCTGCACGCTCTCCACAGTCAGTTCGTTTAGCTGCAGCTCTCCAGGCTCCAGCGGCTCACCCTCCTCAAGCAGGGACTCATCAAATGTGACGCAGGGTGGGACATCAGGTGCGGACCTGTAAGGGGCCAGTGCTCAGTCAATCAACAGGCCAGCAGCCCTGGTGCCCCGCAGGCGCCAGGAGAGGCTTGCTTACCCATACTGTCGCAAGAAGCTCTGGTACTCGGCCTCTGGCTGGATGCGGGCCGCTGCCGCTGCCATCTCCTGGTGAATGACCACCACCTCGTCCTGGACCAGGCTGCTGATCTCCAGGTATTCCTGCAAGATCTCCTTCCTGCCCCCACCCCACAATGGGACCTCGGGTCAGAGGGTACCAGACTGGGCAGCTCACGGCTGACAACACTGGTTTTGAGTCACCCCGGGGTTGACCTCCCAGCCTCACCACATTCTAGACAGATGACTAGACAAATTACTTCACCTCCCCCTTAGTCTTCAGTTTTCTGATATGAACGACGGAAATGAGAATTCCAGCCTCATGGAGTGCTCATAAGAATCCATGAGATGATGTGTGCCGGGTGTCTGGGGAACAGGAAGTGCTCATCCATGCCCTGGGCAGCCTGCCTGAGGACTACATATCACTGACGTAGAGCTGGCCCCTCGCCTGAGCTCCAGCTTCACGAGTCCAATTACTTACATGAGGTATCTCCCAGGATATCTCTGACACATACTCTTCATACCTCACACACTGCCACTGAGTCAATTCAGATTCAGTTGATCCTCAGTCGGGTTTCTGACACTGTAAATCTTTAATCAGAGGAGTCGGCCCATCTTTCAGTGGCTGGTGGCTTTGAACTGCTGACCTTTTGATTAGTAGCCTGGTGCATTATGTACTATGCCATCAGGGTCCTTTACATACTCGTCTAGTTAATGCAAACCTCATTCCAACAGTCTTCTCCTTGTAAGTTCACAGGGACTTCATTACCCCTGGTGCCCCTCATACTTCATTTCCAATCTGTATACAATGCTACTGGCTCAACATCTCTGTCCTTGCCCTCTGACGGCTCTTTTCAGTACAACAGCCAGAGTGATTCTTGTGCCATATGACTCTTTTAGTTCACCCCAAAAGTGTTCATAAAGGCCTGGTGGGCCCTCCACCCTCAGCAGTTCCACGCCTGGCCTCCTTCAGCCTGCCTGACCTGCTCCCCTCACCACCTCACAGCCCGTGCACTTGCAGTTCCCTCTTTGTGGAAGGGCCTTTCCCCTCAGTACTCCTATGGCTACTTCCCACCTCCCTCAGGTATGTATTGGACATAATCTTCTCAAAGAGATTTTCTGAGACCACCCCAGTTAAACAGCCCCCATCCCACCCCTCAGCACTCCCAAGTCCTGTTTCTCCCCCCACCCCCACCAAGTACTGTTTCTTTGTTTCTCTCTCACTACTTCTACCTTGGTTTCTAGCTTACTAATTAATTGTGTATGCTTTTTCTCTTCACTAAAAAGAAAGATCCCTTCGAATATTTTTAATTTTTGTTCAGTGCTCTTTCGTGGAGCCTAGAATCATGCTCATTACAGCACGTGCAACCGAACCCCACGACGAGCCTAGGGGTAATGCAGCGAGGAGTAAAATGTACAGGTTCTGGCCACCACTCCACGTGCTCCTCAAGTGGGTGGCCTGCCTAAGCTGTCCCCAGTGCCAGCCTTGCTCACCCACTTACCCTTCTCTCCCCCACCCCTCCTCAAACATGGCTATGGACTGACATCAGGCCCTAGGCTCAGAACAGAAACAAGCAGAGGGAAGGATGCCCATTCTGGAGATGCTTAAAAGCTACATCTCAGGAATTCTCTGCTCCAAGTTCTCACATGATAACGTGACCACTCCTGGGGCAGGCCTGGATTTCCTGGCTCCTGCTTCAGGCAGGGAGGGAGGGAGGGCAGTTATGGACGTGGTGGGGCTGTGCACTTACAGGATGCAGGCCATCTCCTGGTGCAGGTCCTGCAGCGACTGCAGCAGGTTGGGCAGCATGAGCTGGTGGTGGTGCTGATGGTGCAATTGTGCAGCCCGCACGCCCAGCACATAGCGGTTATGGTGAGCAAACAGCTTCCACAGGCTGCGCACGTACTTGTCCTTGGCCTTGTCACGGTCCTTGTCTGCGAGGTGTGGGGGGATGTGTGACAGCACATTGGCCTAGGCAGCCCCCTTCCCTGGGCACCCACGAGCAGGTCAGGCATGGCTTCAGATTTTAGTGGGTCCTGCTGGTAGGGGAAGCCACAAACCTTTGCTGGCCTCCTGGTACTTGCGCCTGGCCTGGGCGCTATCCCGTGCCAGGGCTCGATACTGGCTCTTCAACTTCTCAATGTCCTGGCTGTGGGTCTGGGGGAAATAGGAGGTCAGCATGAGGAAGTGGACTCCCAGGACATAGCAGATTCCTGTCCTTTGTAAAGGCCCACAAAGGTCCTGTAGGCCAGGGAGGCAGCATATCTGAGCTGGCCCCCCGGGAGGGCCCAGCTGGGGACCACCGAGATAGTTAGGGTCTGGGGAGCTGGACTGACACAGGCAACTGAAGAGGAGGAGCTGAGGGACAGACTAGGCAGGTTACAACTGTCCTGCCTTGACCTTGACCTGAGTGTGGACATGTAACCTGTGCAATCACATAGCTGCACACTTTTAAGGGCTCTATGATTGGCCTAGGGACCCTGGATAACAATAAGCCCCTGGCTACTAACTCAAAGGCTGGTGGTTTACTTAAGGGCTCTTTGGGGGAAAGGCCTGATGATCTACTTCTGAAGGATCAGTCATTGAAAACTATATGGTGTGCAGTTCTCTTCTGACACACACGGGGTCACCATGAGTTGGAAGCAATTTGATGATAAATCATTTCAGTTTATCACTGGTTTAATGTTCTGCTGTTGCTATTTAAAAATTCATAGTACTTTACTTCCCAGCACCCCCAAACAAGAGACCATGCATTTTAAATTTTTTTTTTCAAATTATGTTCCTGATGACAGGAACAACAGCTTGAGACCAAGGTCTTCACGCTAATTTCTCTGTTCATGCACTTGGGTACTCCGGAAAAACTCCACGTCTCTCCTCTAAATCTTGGTTTCCTCATTAACAGCAAATTAGGTAGATCCGGGGTCTAGCTTTTTTTAAAGGGGACAGAAATTACCTTGGTAAGCCATACATTCTTCTATATTACTATTACTCAGTTCTTCCACTTTAATTCTACAGAAGCTACAGACGTGAAGACAAACAGACATGGTTGTATTGCAGTAAAATTTTATCTACAGAACAAGAATGTCTTGATTTAAATGATGAGCCATGAGAGGTGTTGGGTCAGGATGGCCACTAGGGGCCGCTGTGGGTCCATGGCAAGGCCGGGTTATGAGCTGGTGGACGGGATGGGTGCTGCAGTCTGACCAGCACAGTAAATGGGGCACAGGAGCACCCAGAGGGAGGACTGGCAGCACAGTCAGTAAAGAACTATCCTGCTGATCCAGGGGCTGCTCTTCTCTGGCGATCTGAATCCACCAGCAGCTCTGCAGGAAAAAGATGAGCAAACCTCTTCTCACATGACTTAAAGCCAATGAAGGGTTAGGTATGAGTTGGTCTAACTCAACAGCACTGAGTTTTAAAATTTGGAGCACCCAGATAAATGATCAATTCCAAACTACAAAGGTTCTAGATTGAGGAGCTGTGTCTCTTTTTTTTTTTTTGCTTGAAATGAGAAATTCCACACAGTGATAAAATGTGTAGACTATGCAAACCAGACCTTAGATGCAAATCTAAGTAGGCATTGGCCAGAACCTGAGTCCTCGATTGTTGTGTCTAGGGTCAACATTGCTGCAGTGTGGTTGCTCTTCGGCCTGGCCTCGGGAGGAGGTCTGAGGAGGTGCTGAAGGGGAGGAAGTGGACTTCTTAAAGGCAGACTGCTCGGCCTTTATTCCTGTCCTCACACCCCACAGCCAGATGGGGTGGGTGGTGTGGAAGGAGGAACAACACCATTCCTCCTTGGTTTAAAGCTCATCCTTATACTCCTAGCTCCTTGCCATGAACACAATAGAGAGCCCAGAAAACTCAGGAAAGGCCCATTGCAGGCCAGTCGAAGTCCCAAGACAAGGGAGAAGGGCAGGAAGCTGTAGCAGGTCGGCTGGGCCTGTGGTCAAGGACTTTCACTTCCCCACTGAATCCAGGCGCTCTTGTGTAAAACCTACCCTTTTAGGCTCAAGGAGGATAGACCCAGCCAAGGAAATGCCCAGCACTGCCCACACACCTTGGTAAGCTCCTGCTGTAGCTGCTGCCACTGCTCACTGTAGGTTTTGCGCATTTGCTGCCGCTCCCGGATCAACAAGCTCAGCTTGCTCAGAGGCCCAGAGTTCAAATCCTCTGCATGCTGCCTCAGCAACCGGCTCAGGCTCTCGGTCTGGCTGGTGATCTCTGCCCAGGACTACAGCATTTAACAGGAAAGGCAGGGAGTGCGGGACAATGGCACCAAGTCTTCAATCCCACCCTTCCCCCCCAGGAGAGGGCAGGACATAGAAGTGAATTCCAAGGTGGAAGGTGAGAGGAGGTTGAGCAGACTTTGGGTCCCATAAACCCCACCTGGCTGACAAGGCTGTCCAGGCCCACGCCCCGGCTCTGGGCCCCACTGTCCTGCAAGGACATGTGGTGCAGGAGCCCTGCATATTCCCTGTCACTCTTGACCCGCTGGGCCATCCACTTCCGCATGCCCTCCAATAGCCGCAGCTCAGCCTCCTGTAGCTTCTGTACTGCCCCGTGGCCCTGGGGGCTGCACAGCTCCGAAGAGAAGCCCATGATGGTGTGCTGGGGACAGAGAAAAGGCCATCAGTGGAGAGGGTAAGAGCACAACATCTGGAGGTGGACGATGGGGCAGAGTTGTCTACCAGGAAGGATACAGGCAGGCCAGAAGTCCTGTTGTGCAGCCACTGGTGCAAGCAGTGGCCCAGGCTGGGATTAGCCTTCTCAGAGCATCTCCACTGACTCAGTTGGTCAAGGTGCCAGGGTCCCCCTTCCCAGTCCTGGGCCAGGAACCAACCGGAAGCCTCCCTCCCTGGGCCCTTTCCACCCTGCACCCTTTACGGCGGCACATGTGCCTGGCCCTTGAGAGGGTCCAGCCTGTGCCCCGAGCTCAGGGTCCTAGCCCTGGAGGAGGCCTTGCTCTTCCGCGACCCCTTACCCCTGGTTCCCGGCCAGGTCCTGGGGACACCACTCGGCTTCTGGCTCCTCACCTTCCGCCCCCCTCCCGGGCTGCCAGGCCGGAGTCACCTGCGCAGGCAGCTGCTCCCGGGGCCGCCACAGACAGACTCGGCCTGCACCGACCCCCGGCCAGTTCCTGATTTCCGCGCTTCCTCCTCCCGCGGTTTCAGTTGGCCGGGGCCCCGGGGCGGGCCCGCCGAGGGGAAGGGGCGGGCGGGAGCAGCTCCCCTGCCCAGCGCCCGCCGCAGCCTCCGGCCTGTCCATGGGGCCGCGGAAACGGAAGGGAGGAGGGGGCCGCCAAAGAATGGCCACGCGCGCGGGAGAGCAGCCTGCCGGGGCGCGCAGAGGGCCTGGGGGTGCAGGGCAGGGAGGGCTGGTATGGCCAGGCAGGCAGCAAGGCTTCAGGTGGGCGTTGCGCCCCCCAGAGCTCTCAGGCAGGGGCAGTAGGGACAGCAGGGACAGGAGGCAGCACCAGGCTGCAGCGCTGCAGAAGAGGAAGGGGGAAGCCTGGTCTGGGCCTTCCCCACCCCACTGGATTCCCTAAGGACAGCTCTGGCGCCAGCTACTCTTTGAATAAAAATTCCAAGTAGGTATTCCCAGGAGAGCTCTGCTTCTCCAGCACAGGCCTTGGTGCCACCATCCCCACCACCTACCCCCTGGCAGGGGCCTGGTGCAGACAAGCAGCAGGACTGGGAAGCAGGGGTGTGGGATTTTCTGCAAAAGCAGAGACCCTCCAGCTGCTGAGCCCACCAGGGACTTTGCTCTCTCCAGAAAAAGCTATCTTGGCTGTAAAACCCCACAGAGGTAGCCTGCCCCAGCCAAGGCCTCAGTCCTTCAGCTGGTGGCCAGGTCACTTCAACCCAGGCAATAAGCGGCCCCTGGGCAGAGGTTTGTCCTTCACCCCACCAGGGATCAGGAAGTATTGAGGGCAGCCTGCCCAGCCAAGGACCCACCCAACTCTACAGTTGGTGGCCTGGTCACTCCAGCTCATAGAGTAACAGGGCCTCTGGACCCTGGGCAGGGTCATGTCCTTCACTACCTGACTGGGGACGAGGAAGTCCAGTAGACTGCTTAGCTCCTAAGAGGAGGACCTAACAGGGGACCACTTGTCCCACCCCTTCCACTTGCAGGCCTGCTGCCATTTCCATCCACTCTTCTCTCATCTGCTCCTGCAGGAGGCTCTGCAGCCGCCTGGGGGAGGGGAAGGCCTGAGTTTCCTGTCTTGAGCCCACCAAGGGCAGGCAGGATACCACATGGGCATCCATCTGACTAGCTCACACACCCCTGCTCCTCCCCAGCCAGGATGGAGTCGTCAGTCCCGGGAAGAAGTGTATCACCACACAGGAGGCCAGGTATGGTTTGCATAGTCTGCACATTTAATCACTTTAAAACCTCTAACATTATTTCGTGTCCATTAAATAGAACCAACAATGCTGGGCCTGTTTAAATTACAAGAAAAAAAAAATCACTGTGTACCAACCCAGTATCTTACAAAACCAGCCGGGCTGGCCACAGGATGGGGGTGGGAAAGGGGGCACCCCGGGCAGGTGGCTGGGTGCTGGGAGGGATGAGGGGAAAAGAAAAGAGGGCTCCCAGGCGGGAGGGGACTGATTGTCCTAATGGGAGGGGTGCAAAAGGCACGTCAGAAGAGGGGGGGCTTGGAGGGCACACCAGGTCAATGATTTTTCCATCAGGGCACAGTGTTAGGGGGCTCAGTGCCACCACCCATCCACCCCTGGGCTTGGAGAACCAGTGACCCACGAGCCCTTGGCACGATGAGCCCCATTTGAAATATGGATGACAGCCTGCCTCCCCCCACAACCCCATTCTAGCGCCCATCGGCCGGCCTGCCTGCCTCTTCAGGACTTGGGGCTCAGATAAATCCTCAGCAACATGCTGCAGCCCCCCCACACCTCAAGCTGGGGCAGCTGGGGGAAACAGCCAAAGGAGGCAGTAGGTATGGGAAGGTGGGTGGTCCAGCTGCTACCCCCAATAAAAAGTACAAAAAAAAAAAAATCAGCATTTAAAGTGAAATCACAGAGTGAAAATATATCCTCAAACAGCCCCTGAGATCCCCACAGGGGAAAGCAGCATCGGGTGGGAGGCAGGAGAGGCCGGGTGGGCCACCGTCCCTCCCCACCACCCACCCAGGGGCTCCGGGCCTTTGAGTGCTAATAGCCCAGGGAGCCCCGGGCTCAGAAAACAGGGACTTGGGCCCTGTGGAGGGAGGATGGGAGAGGAGAGGTGGTCAGGACCCCAGCACAGGGCTCAGCTAGAGTGCCAGCCTCGGCCAGGCCAGTCCCACCTCAGCCTGGCAGCCTGCTGTGTGCAGGCACGAGTTGCACGGTGGGCATGGACCCACACACAGCCTGGCAGCACACACTTGGTCCCTTCCTATGACCACCTCTTCTGCCTGAGGCTCACCAGAGGGGGACAGGGTTGGGATGCAAAAGCCCTTGGAGAGGTGGCCTCCTCTTTCAAATACCCACTAGGCTCACCTCCTGGCTGCCTAGATGGGGACCATTATTGCTTTAGAGGGACAGGAAAGGGCAAGAGGTGCAGCCTGGGCCAGGAACCCTGACAGGGATGCCTCTCTCACTCCACAGGGAACTCCGGTGGGCCTGAACCTTGCAAATTGACCCCACAGGTTTCATTCCTTTCTCCATGTGGAGAGGTGCTGATGGTGGGGTGGGGCCCTGACCTGCCCCCAGCTAGTCCTGGGGCCCCGTACCAGGCAGCCAGGTGTGCCCAAGGGTAGCCTGGGAAGCAGTCTCTACCCCTCCTGCCTCCCAGCTGGGGTCCAAATCCCAGTCTCAAGATAAAAAAATACTTTGGTGAATTAAAAAGTGCCCAAGAAGGGGATCGGCTTGAGGGGCAGGCAGTGGCGCTCATCAAAGGGCGCTCTGGTCTTTGATAAAGGCAGTCCTCTCGCCCCGGCCCTCATCCTCCTCCGAGTCAGATGGGCATTCCTCCTGCCAGGCCTCAGGAGGCAGCCCCTTGTAGGAGATGAGGCCCCGGTCCATTGTGTACACCTTCACCCCCCGGAAGCTGAAGCCTGAGCGCAGCTGCAGGACCAGGAAGATGGTGAAGAAGATGAGCACGATGAAGGCGCAACTGAGACCAGCCACCACCTCGGGCAGGTGTGAGGGCAGCAGGCCTGCCCGCCTCGGCTCTGTCTCCACCTCCTGGGGCGGTAGTGGGGGCGGCGGCTGCTGAGGTGGTGACTCCCGGCTGCTCTGTCCCTGCTTGGTGCACATCTGATGCACGGGGTCCAGGAAGGTATGGCCGGGGCAGCTGAGGCAGTCTGTGGGGGCTAGCCCTTGACATGTGGCACATGAGTCATGGCAGGGGGTGCAGACACTGGCTCGGATGATCTCCACATCGTTCTCCGTGCTATAGTGTGTGTTGAGGACCTGGGGTGTGAAGCCTGGTGGGCAGTGCTGGACACAGCTCTTCTGGTGCAGGGAGAAGCCTTCCTCACACACTGCAGAAGGAAGGTGGTGTTGTGGGTCAGCTCAGCTGACCATGGTCACAACACCATGGGGCTGAGAACTTTGGGCCCAGGACTGTGGACCATGATAGACCGATGGTTCTGCAGCCTCAAGTGTAGTCCCCAAGGATCCTTGGCACTCAGCCCCAAAACTACGGTCACCCCAAGGGTTCTGGGAACCCTTCAGATCCTTCTTTCTCTTAAAGTTAAGTCTATAGAAGAGGCACCCTGTTTCCAACCTTCAGCCTCACCTCCCCAAACCTCAAACCCCAGCACCCACTACTGACCCACGCAGGCCTGGCTGGACGTGAGAGTCTTGCAGCCACTGCTCTCGGGAGGTGCGGTGAGACCCTCAGGGGCTGTGCCGTGCAGCACAAGGGTGAACTTGGTCAGTGTCCCTGTTCATGAATAGGGAGACAAGAGTTAGAGGGCCCCTGCCTGGCATATTCCAGAGCTGAGAGCTGGTCTGCCTTCCTCCTCCCCTCCCCATAAGAGCCCCCAGTACCGTAGTTATTGGCTTCACTGGTATTTTCAATCTCCAGGACCCACTCCCCAGCTGGGTTCTCATCCCAGGAGTGGGTGGTCATGAAGGCCCAGTCATTAAACCCGTCTGCAGAGTAGTCGTGTGGCCTGGAGGGAAGGAGGCGGCACTTAGCAGTCTGCATGGCCCCAGTGGAGACCAGGCCAGGGCACCATGTCCACACACATGGACTGCACACCCTCACCAAACACAGCATGCCTTCATCTATTTTCCAAGCAGGGGACTCTGGAAAAGCATGAGAGTAACACTCGGGGCAGTCCTGGCTGGTGAGAGGCCCCGTAATACAGGTGGTCCCATAGAAGAAGCTGTTCTTAGAAAGGGGCACCATGCTTGGAAAGAGGGTCAGCAAAGGAGAGGAAGACCTTCAACGAGATGCAGTGGGTTTTAGTGTGTCAGAGATGATGAGGATGGTATAGGACAGGGTTCAGGCTGGCTGTTCACAGGGTTGCTGTGTGACTTGACTCAACAGCACCTAACAACAACATACGGTAAAACTGTCTCTCCACTGGGTATTGATTACCTCGGAGTTTGAGTAACTAAGGGAGATGGTGTGAGGTTGAATGGATGTGAGTAAGTTATGTGGAGAAGGTGGATCAGGTAGGGTGAGGACAGGGCAGGCACCTGGCGGCCAGCAGGGTGGAGCGGGTGCCCATGGGGCTGACCAGATGGATGGCCAAGTCTCCACGGCGATTGTAGGACAGGGTGAGCCTCGCCTGGACATGCTCTAGCCGAGTGATGTAATTGGACTCCCCAAGGCACGCGGTCACAGTCTTCCGCACCTCTAGCCGCTTCCCGATGTCCCTGTGCAGAGAGCACCACGATGGTCTGTCACCTGCTGCCCACCTCCCTGCGTGGTGTGCCTCAGGCTTCGCTCACCCCCTCCCAGTCCATGTCTACTTCTCACTTGGGTTCAGTGAGGATCTCGATGATGCACTTCCGCTGGGGGGGCACTGTTGTCCAGTTCTGGGCCAGGGCCACCATGGCACCAGCATCCAACAGCCCATAGCCATAGGAGTGGCTCACTACAGGGGCAGGGAAAACAAGGTCAGCGGGGAGGCACAGTGACCCTGCTTGCCCCTAAGCCCCTCAACAGGGCCACTCTGCCCTTACCTTTCCGGCCCACACCGTTGGTAGCCCAGTCATTGGCATTGAGGTGGGCTGGCTTTGAGGTCTGTACCACAAGGTGCTGCATGTCCCGCCAGGTGAGGTTCTTACTGCAGAGATGGGGAACAGGCTAGGACTCAGTCCTCCAGGACAGAGCTGGAGCCCAGGTGCTGCCTGACAGAGAGCGGCCACTCAGCTCCCACCACTTACTTTGCCTCCAGGGTGAGTGCGATGATGCCAGCTGCCAACGGGGCTGAAGCTGAGGTGCCCGTGTGTGACTCTGTGCACTTCTGCCGCAAGTCAGTGGTCACCTATCAAGTGGACAATGGTGTTGGGACCTAAGTGAATGGTGGGACCAGAGAGGCCCCTTGCCTGGCCTCCCCACCACCTAGAAGGCCCAGCTCCAGGAATGGCTGGGCAATCAGGATGCTTGGCTTCCAGCTGCTGGCCTGTCAAAGTGCCACGAACAGGGCCCCTGTAGCCTGCAGCTTGCCAGGGAACAAGGATCAAAACAGAGGCTGCTGACTGCTAAGAGCGGCATTTGCTTTTGGAGAATTTCTCCACATCTCTAAGGCTTCACACACAGTGCTGTCGCCCCGAGAGTCTTCCACTGATACTCCACAACGCCTGAGTGGCATGGTCACTCAGACATGTGGAGACCACAGCGACCATGTCCATGTCCCTCCCTCCTGCCTGGAAGCAGACTCACAATTTGCTTCTCGTTCTGGTTGCCACTGCTGTAGGTCGTGGCCAGGGTGGACGAGCAGGCCTCGCTGTACCAGGGCACGTTGCCGAACTGTGTGGCACTGCTGATGGACAGCGTGTAGATGCTGTTGGTGTAGCCATCACAGTTGCAGCTGTCATGTTCCCGGCCCCCGTTCCCCGAGGCCCAGACAAAGATGGAGCCCAAGCCCCCTCGGCCCTGTGGACAGAGTGAGGTGGGGTCACTTAGGAACAGGCCTCAGCAGAAGGGGCTGCTGGAGACTGACTAGGCTCCTTAGGGACCCACTGTATGCCCTCAGCCCCCTGCAAGAGTCTGCGCGGAGCAGGCAGAAGTGTGGTATGTCTCTGTGCATGTGCGCATGCTACATCCAAAGAACACAACAGAGCCCCACAAGATCCTCAGAGGGTGACCTCGTGGGAAAGGGTTTGTGTTTCCTACCCTTTTTCTGTCCTCCTCATCTCTAAATGTTTCAATAAACATGCTCTGTGTACAATTAAAATTAAAGAATAAATACAGCCAAACAGACACTTCCAAGCAGGAGGACCACAGAGAGGAGAGGCAGGCTCCAGAGGGTGGGAAGCAGCTCCAGCGTGGTTCCACGGCTGCCCATGCCCTGCCCCTCACCTGGGTGACCCCCCGGAAGAAGGCCTCTTCAGCAAGTCGGGCTGGCCCATCCACGGTCTTGCCATCATCCTCAGGGCCCCAGCTGGCGCTGTAGATGTGGATGTGGTTGGGGTTCAGGCCTAGTGAGCGTGCCTCCACTGCATCTGTCACCTCACCATCCAGCATACGTACCCCTAGCCACAGAGGGGGGCAGGGAAAGGAATGCTGCGTGGGTCCAGCTGCCAGGGGACACCCCCTAATGCACTCCCAGCTCTGTAGCCCCAAGAGATACGCCAAGAAGGGTAGAGAATGGCACCGGAGCACAGGACCTTTACACAGGGCAACATCTAAGGCAAAGGCGGGTGTGTGGAGGAGACCCTGGTGTTCCCAATCATCTGCCTGACTTAGCAACAGGCCTCTAGCCTTTATAGAGGAGACTTGGAGGCAGACACCCTCCTCCCACAACCACACAGCCTGGATGAGGACGAGTCTGTGGGTTCTCAAAGGAGCAAGTCATGTCTGGTCTCAGGATGTGTTGAGGATTCAGGGGAACTCCAGGCTAAGAAACACCCCTCTCTGTGCTTTCAGGGGTCCTCAGTACTGAGGGGATAGCTCTTAGAATCCAAGTGGAATATTCACGCAGTCAGGATTCACTGTTGGAAAGTGGCAGAGGGTCCCTTCCATTGACAGGGTTGCTAAGACCACCACCCACCTCCAATGCGGGCATTGTAGGCCACGCCGACACCACAGACTCCATTGTTGGCCACTGCAGCCACTTCACCAGCACACCGTGTGCCATGCCTGTGGGCCATGAGACAGCATTAGTGGAGTGACAGAACATGGCAGACACAGCCTGAGGAGGGAAAACCAGCACCCCCTTAACCACAACCATCCTGCACGCCCCTCCATTCAGCCTTTGGTCATTTTTCCATTCCCTGACCCCGCCCCTGCCACTTGGCACAGATCAACCTCTTAGCTGGGCACGTCTTAACCTAGCTCAGCTCTGCCTCCCCGAGACGAGGAGGGGACAAAGGCCAGGGGCTGACTGTTCCTCACCGGTTGTCATTCATCTGTGTGTATCGAGGCTGGGGGTCAGGGTCCTGGTCATTGACATCGAAGCTGGCCCCAGGATCCTGGAAAGATGTGGCCACAGGCGTGAGCAGCCTGACCCCAGGACAGGGCAGGGAACCCCCAGACACCCTGCCCCAGGAATGCTGCCTCCTTACATAATTGCCTGCCAAGTCCGGGTGGTTCTTCTCAATGCCATCGTCCAGGATGGACACCACGATGCCATGGCCTGTAAAGCCCTGCGCCCAGGCCTCCTTCACATTCAGGTCCCGCTGGGTAATGCCAGACTGCAGAGATAGCACCCCATTACCCCCACACTTATCAGTTGTGAGGATGGGGGTGACTTGAGTCCCCTTCCCACCTTAAGACCACTTCCTCCTCCCATCCCAGCTTGTCTGGGCTCTGCAGAATGTAAAGAATTCTGAAAGGGTTAGCAGAAAGGCTGGGGAGAAGCTGCTCAGGAGAGAGGCCCCACCGACACCCCACTGTGACTGGATGGACTCACTGGGGGTCAGGACCTAGGACCCAGGGAGGCGCCATACCAGGTACCACTGCTGGGAAAACTTGGGATCTGTGGGCTCCAGGTACACGTCTCTTTTGGTCCTTCGCTTTGCCACCTGCTGCTCCAGCCACTGGACCTGTGGAGGAGTGAGGCAGAGATGATGCTGTGGGAGGAGAAGCGGGAGATGAGGCAGGCAGCAGGGGGGCTGGGGCTGCACTCACTTGAGGCTCCCTCCGCAGCCGGATGTGCCGCAGGCGGTGAGGCGACAGGGACCGCTTTGTCACCCCTCGATGCCAGAAGTGGTAATAGTCCCCGAAGATCTGCAACAGAGCAGGGAGATGGAACTGGGCTTTCCATCTGTCAGTCCTTGGGGAGGCGGGGATGGGGGTGGACAGTGGCTGGGAGGGGTGGCACACAGCAGTGGGGGCATCTGCTCCTTGCCCAGGACCCAGAAGAGCTGTGCAGGAGCCTGAGGGGGAGTGGGGAATGGTTTGCTCTGAAGGGGATATACTGGTGGTCCTCTGAAAGGCCTAGGGCAGGGTGGGTTTGACACTGTTCCCATTCCCAAACTGTGCCTACTACACTGGTGCCCCAAGAAACAAGTCCAGTAGCTCCTATTCCAAGGGCTAGAACCCTTATCCCTACTGTTCCCCGCCCCTGCCATATTTCATGCCTAATCCAGGAGGTCCAGCTAAGAACACCTACCTGGCCCAGGTTAAGGAAGCCATGCTTGCGTGCCAGGGTGTCGGCCACATCCTGGCCTCCCGAGATGTGCACGGCCCACGTGTTGGTGAAAACCTTCTGAGCATGGGCATCAGCTGCCAGCAGGACCAAGACTCCTGCTGCTGCGACCACCCATAGCAAACAGGGCCTCAGCTCCATGGGAGGGTAGGTGGCCGGGACCCCAGAGCCCCCTTCTCCTTGGCCTGGTCACAGGGCCTCGGCTCCCTCGTGTCTGCTCACTGCCTGTGGCCCGGGACTGGTTGGCGGGGGCATGAGGCCGAGATGGGAAGGGCTGTGGAGGGAGGATGAAGGCTGCCGGCTCTGAGATGAGAGAGAATGGGAGAAGACTTAGCCTTCCCTGTCAGGCACTTAAGTCACCTTTCCCAGCCCCTCCCAGCTCAAGGCAGACCTGTAAGGGGTTTAGAAGAGAGGGGCGAGGGGAGCTCTGGTGGCCTAGTGGCAAGGAGCTGCAACTACAATCCCAGAGGCAGACGGTTCGAATCCACCAGATGCTCTGCCGGGAAAAGGAGGGACAATCTCCTCCTGTACCAGTCAGATCTGATTTGATGGTACACTCACACAAAAATTAAAAAAAAAAAATTAAAAAAAAGAAGAGAGGGGCGAAAATGAGTTTCTCCAAAGAAATGCAGTCCCCTAGTCCAGCTCCAAGATAGACACTCCCAACACACACAGACACTGTTGCAATTGTACAACTGAGATAAAAGTACCAAAACTTGAGTCATTTCAACAGCTTAATGAATGTGTAAATGAAAAAAAGCAAAAAAAGGATGGATTATATGTATACAATCCAATTTAAATAAAAACCTCAAAATTAAGTATGTATATGTATACATAAGCACAAAACAAAACCTGAAGGACACAGGCTAAAATGGTAACAGTGGTTCTCTTAGGATGCTGAGAATCAGAAACAATTGTTAGTTTTTCTTTGTGCTTTATATTCTCTCCAATTTACCTGGGGGTGAGGTGTATTTTTTTTTTTTTTTAGCCTGGGTATATTTTATAAAAATGGCTTCTCAAACAAGAGATATCTACACAATTAACTAGGGTCTTGTGGTTCAACAAAGGCAACCTAGCCATAGGGAGTCATTGGCACAGTCCCTGGGAGGATGGGGTGGATTGCTCTGTGGGATGGGGACTTTGGGACTATGCCTGTGAATATGGGACCCAAAGTGGGTTTGCTTCTATCTGTGGCCCTGATGTGGCCAGCAGCAAAGTCAGGGGCCCAGGTTCATCTTCCACTGTTTCCAGGGGAACACAGGGGCTACATGACTCTGCTATGCCTGGGCCTGGAGGGCCCTCTGGCCACCCCTATGCTCTCTCCGCGCCCACCAGCCTTGCGTAATTTGAGCCTGGGCAGCCAGGGCAAACAGGCTGCTGAGCCAGGAGCACCAAGGTGAGGCTGAATCAATAGTCTATGTGTTGTTTTTCCTCCTTCAGCAAACAGAGAGCAGGACCTCTCTGCCTGGGGCCACATAACTGTCCCCACATAAGGCCCCTGGTTAGCCAGAGGCCAGTCCTTGGGGGTGGAGGGAAGCTGAAGGGGATCCTACTGAAACCTAAGGCCAAGCACAGTTCAGCAGAGCCCCTGCCCAGAGGGTCCTGGGTACCCATCCTTATGGGACAGCCCCAAAGGAGGCCATTCTATGCTGGGTGGCATAATAAAGGGACAGATCCCTAGCCCAGCCAGGGGTGCTGACAGACCAGACTTGCTCTGACTCCCTTGCTCTCCAGGGCTTCTCTCTGCCACAATGGCATCACTTGAAGCATGCTCCCATCCCAACTGCCATACCCCACCTCACAGGCTGGGGAGACTCTACACACAGTTCCTTGAGTATTTTCAGTTTACACCAAAATAATCTGACAGCTGACAGTGAGAGGCCTCCACAACAGTGAGAGGCCTCCACAGTGTGGCTCCTCCTCACCCCAATGGGCAGAGTCCACAGGGCAGGCCCCAGAGCCACAGCCCCAGGAGGCCTTGGATGGAGTCCAGAAAGCCACCCTAAGCAATGGCTGGGCTGCTGGAGAACCAACCTCGGGGGTAGAGGGACCCCCAAGGTCCCCATTTAGCAAAGGATGTGGGGTTCTAAGGCAGAGCTCTGTGAGAATAAGGCCTCTTTTTCCTGCTTGGGCCCAGAGAACCTGCAAAATCCCACCTGACGACAGTGCTGTGGGCCCTGCTGGTGCCCCCAAATAACGGATGCCTGGGGCTGGCCCTGCTTCTGGCACTGTGAGGACAGAGCTGCCGCTGCCCAGTGTTAAAGGTAATTAACCAACTAGTTAATGACCTTGCACCCAGAAAGAGACTTCAGACAAAAATGCAACAATGCTCCCCACAAAAGAGGACATGCTTCCCTCTGTCCTGTGTGCCTCACATCCCAAGCCATGACAAGAGGCGGGTATGGTTTCGACAAAGCCCTAAAGTACTCAGAGAGTCCCATCTCAGCATATCCCGGAGGAAGGGATTCTCTTACTCTTCCCCCTTCCACCCACCCCCCCCCAAAAAAAGAGCTGGAGCTGAGAACAATGAATGAATGGGCTTCTCCTCACCCCCATCACAGACTCTGACTCACCCTCCGGGTCTCTATGTCTCTCAAATCGAGCCAGAGGCTTGGAAGAACTTCCAGACCCAGCAGCTCACTCTGACACGGGACCAAGGCTCTGGGCTTCAGCCACTGAGCTGGGGGTGCCCTTCTTGGCTGTTTCGCCAGCAGAACCCTCTTTTCCAGTCTGGCAGCCTCCGGAGCAGGGCCAGCTCCCAAGTTGCCTCTACTCCCCTGCCTGCAGCTTCCCAGGCACTGGGGGTCTGGCTGACACGGGCACAGAGCAGGCCACTCCAGGGCGGCCCTGGAGAAACTCAATCCTGTCTCTTTTCAGCAAAGAGCCACCCAGCCAGGTCCTTGTCACAGGCAAAACTGACTTCCAGCCCTTGCTCAACCACCCATTTACTGTATGATCTTAGGCCTAAGTCACTTCCTCTCTCTGGGCCTCAGTTTCCTTGGTGGTAAAATGTGCCAAGCCAGCGGTTTCAAACTTTTGGAAAGCCACAAAACCCTTTATTTAAAAATAAAATAAAATAAAAATCTTATGGGTTAAGTCCACTATAGGAAAGCAGTCAAACCGGGGCTACTCTGTTTAAAGTGAGACCAGGCAGGACATGTCCTGGCCCCTCTCCTGTGCTGTGTCCACACCTGGTCAGCAGTCCTCAGCACTCAATAGGTCACATCACTTGACGTCCTCCCTCCCCCAGGCACATCCCAAGACCACTTTCCACGCGGGGCTGAAAGTCGGAAAGAATTCCAACATTCTTTGCTGGTTGCGGGTCAGCAATCTCATGGCCATGGGCGTGAGGGGTGGTAGGAAGGCAGGTCGTGATGGGACAAATGTCGGCTGTCACACCTATCTGACAAGCAGGCCGCCCCTCGGTCCAGCCACCCCGCCGGGCAGCGGGCAC